GTCTGCCACTGAACACACTCCTCTGCCTGGTGAAGGTGTTGTGCAGAGGGTGGTGGGCGTTGTCCAGTATGGACAGCAGTTTGTCCAGGGTCCATAATGTAGCTGATAACAGATTATTTATCAGTGTAGGCCTTTATAGCCAGCATGCACAATACCAGGACCATTGACCGTGAAACTGAAGCAGTTAAATGAAATTCAGCCATCATTTGTTTAGCTACATTTCTGTGGAAAAGGCCTTTAGTGCAATCTTTTCTTTTAAATTTATATTAATCAGTTTAAAAAATGACCAAAAACTTATTGGAAGGAAGCAAAACACAACATTACATTAGAAAAAAACCAGGGGAAAATGCATCAGGGAATATATATGAATTGAATTAACTACTTGAGATGGTTAAAGTCTACTGCGCTTCGTGCTGCGGTCCGGTAGGGGGCGGCAATGCGCCTAAAGCTGTCCTCACAACCGCCAATAAACCCAAAGAAGAAGAAGAAAGTCCTCAGAGCGCGCGTGGTTGCTCTGGTGCGGTCACGTGAATGCTCGGGGCGAGGGGAGGGGGGGGCAAACATGGCCGACGAGGCAGGGGAAGTAAACACAGCTGTTGAGGATGGCGAAGCAAAACAGCCGCCGCATGAGCCCGAAGTTTCAGGAGCCGCGACCGACGGCGAGTCCGGCTGCAGCGACGACCAGGACCGGGCCGAGAAGTCTGCTCCGGCTCCGGCGGCGGAGACCAGCTGGTCGGCGCCCCTCTTGTCTCTGGCTCGGAAGGCCACGGAGACGATTAGCAGCGGGGTAAGCTACGCCTCTGCCCCGAGAAATCCCTCACAGGGATCCGCTGCGAGCTCCCCGACGGAGACGGAGCCCGAAAACGATCTGGATAACGCCTCGAAACAGCTCCCAGGTAGGCTGTGGCTACTTTTAATCTTTGACACTGGCTCCAACGCTCTGCATTAAGTTTTGTGAAAGACTGGAGCCATAAAGTCCATACTTCCTCTGGGGAATTGCCACCTGACTTGAAGAGTTAAACTTTTATAGATTTTTATGGGTTGATGAGCGTGCAGAAAGTCACACTTGCATGATATATCCTCCCAGTCTGCATTGATTTGACTAATTCAGTGGTTGTCAAACTTTCCCACCACCCCAAAACTAGGAACTAACTCAAAAAAAAAAAAGATTACATGTTGCATTTTAGAGAAATAAAGTTGCTATTCTCCCCCCTGGTCATCCACGCCCCCACCTGCAGTGACTATATGAACTGGACTAATCTCATGCAATTGCTTTCTTTTCTTTTCTTTGCCTTGCATCCTTTACAGTTCTGCCCCCCAAAGACCCCATGTCAATAGAGAGATCCAACCTCCTCAGCATGATGAAGCTGAGCGTCAAAGTGTTAATCCAGTCCTCACTGAGTCTGGGCAGGACGCTGGACTCGGAGTACCCCCCTCTGCAGCAGTTCTTTGTCGTCCTGGAGCATTGCCTCAAACACGGGCTGAAAGGTGAGACGGTCCACGAGGCTGACCTTTTTGAGCAGAGTTCTTTTTTAATGTTAAAGTCATACAAATCCCACGTTTGTACCAGAAAGCAAGCAGAAATAACATTCTGTCTTTCAGCCAAGAAATCCTTCATTGGTCAGAACAAGTCCATATGGGGACCTCTGGAGCTGGTGGAGAAGTTGTGTCCAGAGTCTGTTAACATTGCCACAAGTGCCAGAGATCTTCCCGGCATTAAGTACGTCTATACCTACAATATAAGGAATGCTTAACAACTGTTTTGATTTATTGGTGGCTTTTAATGTTTTTATTCTCTTGTTTTAGGACTGGTTTGGGGAGGGCAAGGGCGTGGCTGCATTTAGCACTCATGCAGAAGAAAGTAGCTGACTATATGAAAACGTTGCTGGACCGCAAAGATCTCCTGAGGTTAGTAGTCATGCTTAGTTATGTTGGCTTAATATAGCATTCATTTGTAAATGTTAACATGTTGTTTCTGTCCTTTTTTTAGTGAGTTTTATGACTCTGGAGCATTGATGGTGGAGGAGGAGGGGGCAGTGATGGGGGGGCTGCTGGTGGGCCTCAACGTAATTGACGCCAACCTCTGTATTAAAGGAGAAGATCTTGATTCTCAGGTGAGTGCCGACAGGTTTTGTGGGCGTACGCATCCCGGCACCTCATTTTGTCCACACGCTGATCAGCCTCTTGTTCCCGTTTAGGTCGGGGTCATTGACTTCTCCCTTTATCTGAAAGACCCTGCTAACAGTGAGACTCCAAAAGAGTGAGTGTCCACTTTCAGATGGATTGAGCGTCTCACCTACACTGCTTTTCATTTCAGTTTGAATCGTAGCCCTTGGCATGATAGCAGTTCAGTTCCAAGCAGACCTAATGCACACTCAACTCTTCTCTTTCAGCGATTCCAAGATGACAGCCATATTAGATCAGAAGCACTACATCGAGGAGTTAAATCGTCACCTAAGTGGCACCGTCACTGACCTTCAGGCTAAGATGGACTCTCTGGAGAAGACGAACAGCAAACTTGTAGAGGAGGTCAGATGTCAACTATCATCTACATCAACCATCTAAAAAGAAGGCATTCCTCTCTAATGTCAACACAACATCTGTGCACAGACCTGATGAGTGTTTTTATTGTCCTCAGCTGACAGCAGCAACAGACAGAATCAACTCTCTGCGGGAGGAACAGGAACAGCTGAGACAGGAGAATGAGTCCATCTTGCAGTCCAGCCAGAAAAAGGAAGAGGTCAGAAATCATCCAGGAGAAATTGCAACTAAACCTCTCCAAAGTTGAATAATATCCAATCTGTATGATGTGTTTGTTTTTCCAGGCAGCCCTTCAGGACAGCCAGGTGGAGCTGGAGACGTACAAACAGACTCGACAGGGCCTGGATGAGATGTACAATGTGGTTTGGAAGCAGTATAAAGAGGAAAAGCGCATTCGCCAGGTCAGGTATCAACAGGCTGTAGCACCAGAATATATAAATCACATTGCAATAAAAGGTGATTTGGCTGCTCTGTTGGGGTGCTGGGGTAGAGGCTGAAGATCGGTTTTGGGTGGGAAGCATGAAGTGCAAATTACTCTTCATACTTTGTTGTTAGACAGAAGCCAGCAGTGTGAGTTCTGTGTGAGTCATTTGGCAACTCAGACATACTGTCTAGTGTTTTTTTTTGTTTTTGTACTGACTAGAACTAAATTTGACTCATGCCTTTTGTATGTTTACAATGCATGATGTCAGGAGTTGGAGCGGGAGTTGGAGCTCCAGGTGGGCCTGAAGCAGGAGATGGAGGTGGCCATGAAGCTGTTGGAGAAAGACTCGCATGAAAAACAAGACACACTGGTAGCCCTGAGGCTCCAACTTGACCAAGTCAAGACTCTTAACCTGCAAATGTTCCACAAAGCTCAGGTAGACACACATGAATACAACCTTTCTTCCTCCCGCATGCTCAGGCAGACAGAATGCACAATAATACAGTCTATGTGGCTCTTAAGGACTGGGAACGAGAAGCAGAAAAAAAGCAGGCGGAGGCTGGGCAGCTTGAGCAGAAGATGGATGAAATGGAGAAAGTCATGATGGAACTAGAGCAGAGGTATTTATTGTGCATGTTTCAGTGTGTTAAAAGGAAATATGCGTCAAATGAATATAATTCCCCTCCTCTGTCGTTTGCGTCACAGACTACAGAACTCTGAGCGAGAGCGCAAACAAAGTGACCAGTCAGACAAAGATATGAAGGTGGAGCTGGAGGGAAAAGTGGATGCTTTGCAGAAACAACTGACTGACCTGGATACAATAAGGTAAAAAAAAAAAATAACAGTAGAATTATACAGAAGGATAACATGACTATAAATATGTAAATAACATTTGGCCTACGGGAGTTAAAACCAACTAGTGTATAAAAGTCAGTTTTGGAGATATAAAGTTGCCACAGTTCAATTTAAATTAGCTACAAGAATCACCACATCCCTTCTGTTCTCAGGCTGGGTTTGGAGAACGAGCTGCGCACTGAGAGGGAACAGAGACAAAGCCTTCAGAAATCGCTCCAGCGGGAACAGGACAACAGCATTGAGCTCCGCACACAGCTGCAACAACTCCAGGGGCTGCACACGGTCAGTGTCTCTCTCACACACACACACACTGGGGTTAGGGTCAGTCAACTCTGGAAGTGGATGATGAAATAACTAGTAACTAGAGGGTTTATATGTTGTTTGTAAATCCCCTATGATGAAGGCTTCGTCATTATGTGTGGTGCAATTTGTTTTGCAGAAATGAATTGAGAACATATGTAACATAGCTACCAGATAAATGCAAAATAACGTTTAATCTCAAATCTGTCCCAGGATTTATTTTAGATGCTGCAGTCTTAAGAGTTCCTGTTTGAATATATACATTGTATATATGTAGTTCATAATCCTGTACAGCATTGTGATGTTACGCTGCTTGTTTCCTGTGAATTGATGGTGCAGGAGCTGCAGGATTTGAAGCAGGAGAAGCAGCAGCTGCAGCAGACATGTGAGCAGCAGGAACAGGCTCTACAGGAGATGGGACTGCATCTCAGCCAGTCAGTACTACTGATTTTGTTTTTGTTAATAATGTGTACCATTTCATGTTCTGAGGTTTTTGTGTTGCCTTCATCTTTGTCAAAGGTCTAAACTGAAGATGGAGGACTTCAAGGAGGTCAATAAAGCTCTGAAGGTAAAATACAAAGAGCTGTGTACTTGGTCTACAATTGATGCTGTAAAATTTGAAAAACAATCCTGAGCAAGCCACGTTGTTAATGTTCATTGCTCCCATCAGGGCCACGCATGGCTGAAAGATGATGAGGCCACTCAATGCAAGCAATGCCTGAAGGAGTTCTCAATCGCACGCAGAAAAGTAGGCTCCCATTTCATCACATCCTATTTGTACTTCTATAATATTCATCTTCCCAGTAATGTCAACGAGCTCTCCATGTTCGTGTGTTGCAGCACCACTGTAGAAACTGCGGAGACATCTACTGCAACAATTGTTCCAGTAATGAGCTGGCCTTACCCTCCTACCCTCGGCCGGTGCGGGTGTGCGATATGTGCCACTCCCTCCTGCTGCAGAGAAGCACCTCCAAAGCTTCCTGACAAAACACCTGCGAACTTCGATGTTTCTACATCTGCTTTCTAACACTGCACATACTCATCCACTATGATTTACTTACTACCAAATTACTACTATGTTAAAAGAAAAACGTCATCAGATCTTATGGAAATGTGATTTGGTGTTCCATTTCCACTGTTACCTGAAATTCAGGAACATTAATTCATCTGTATTAAATATGGGCCACCTTTTAACACTGATGGGATGAGCTAATATAGTCATGCAGACTGTATGTTAAAGGTCCAGTGTGTATGATTCAGTGGCAGCTAGCAGTGTACTTGCAGACTTTAAAGCGTGAAGGAGATCCTACAGTGGCCACAAAAAGCGTGAAGGCTCCTATCCAGACCCAGTATTTGGTTTTCCCTTCTGGGCTACTGTAGTAACATGGCAGACGACATGGAAAACACCAAATCCTTCCTTTATATTATACACTAATGCAAACATACCTATGAATATCAATCCATTTCTGCCAATAGATCCTCTGAAGTGTTACGCTCTGGACCTTTAACAAGACTTAGATATTAATGTGATCAATGTTTATTTGAACTGGAATAATCACTTTGACAATTTGGTACTGGATAAACTGATCATTTAAAAAAAGTCTATAGTCTCTCTAATTCAAACCATGGATGTAGATTATGAAGTTACACCAAGGTTGCTGTTGGTTTTCAGCTTTTGTTGAGGGTCATTTGTGTACCTGGATCATAAAACATGTGTACTTCACTTTATCATTCAACTTGTCATGCATCTACTCTAACATTTACAGCTATGGCCCCACTGCTGGATACATGCAAACCTATTGTGTAAATGACTGTAGAATGTTAAACTAACTATTTTAGAATGTATTATAACAGGGTTTTGTGGATTGTGTGGACTGCTACAAAGCCATTTTCTTAATTTGGGAATGGTGACCAAGTGTTTTTTTTATCTAGGTATTTGATAAATGAATAAAGCCTCCAGTTTTGCAATGCTTGTTTCAATTAGATATTCCAGACTAGTTTATTCACTTTGTGCACGGGAAATACAAATAGCATTTGAAGCAGTAGAAACCTTTTATGTCAGCAGATCTGAAAAACATTTGCCGTTCATATAGCACTCATTCAGAGAAACCGCCACATCAACAATCACACCTTAAGAAAAACAAAACATGCGCTGACCATATGAAGTGTCAAATTCAGAATAACATTTTAAACGGGAAATAAAAAAGGCTAAACACTATGTAGAAGGTGAAACAAGGTCTAACAATCAGAAGATAGACATTTTTTTTGTTCATGCACTCTGACATTGAAAATAATGTTAAAGCCATCAGCACAGGATGAGTTAACTTTGAGGAACAGCCAGGTGCTTGGAGAACACAAACGACACACTTTCCTGGTAATGAAAATTTAAAGCACGGTTTCTGTGATGTGTCAAATTTGTGAGGAATGGGGAAGACAAACAGGGCTTCTGTCGGACACTTTGTGACACCTATGACTTTGCTTCTCTCTGAAGATCATTCACATTAAAAAAAAAAAAAAAATACAAACCCTACCCCTCAATATTTTCAAAACCTCACCTGACCCTACCCTATGTTTACAAGGTGAGACTTGTGTTTCCAGTCCTTCCAGCAAAATGCTGAGTTAAAAAAAACCCATCAAATTAAGGGGAAACAGAAAAAAACAAATCTACATTCCCCATCCCCCGCCCAGTCCATTCATAGAGCCTCTGCTTCCTCCTCCTCCACTGCCGCCGTAGTAGCTGCTTCCCATTCCGCCCTGGTTACCTAACAAGAGAGAGAATACACACTATAGGACCGAGGAGTTCATCATGGAGTCACACACAGAAACACAGTCTGTCTAGGTCTGTACAAGCATGTCTTAAAAACACAAATCAAACATACTGACATAAATTTCACGTTTAAAACTAAAAACATAAATATGTATACTTATTATTATAATATGTTATTATATGCATGATAACGAGGTGTACATAGCACTATAGGCTGTATATGTAGTAGGCCGTCCTGGTTCTCTTTATGAGCTAAGGGGTCCTTGGCCAGAAAAATGTTTAAGACCCTTGTTGTAAGGCCTTAAGACCAGCCTGGTGCAGAGCCATCAAACATAATCTCTCTAAATCATCACTTATAACCCACTAGAAGTGTGTTGTGCGGTCTGGATCTGCAGAGACCCGGCCCTCTGCGTCAACCTTTGGGCAGCAAGCAGGGTGCGAGTTTGAGACTATTAAAATGTAGTGACCTGGTTACTGTGTGCCTGTGTCATGGATGCATAAAGAGCTGCAGGATTGGTGTGTCTGTGTGACCGAGGGCAAACAGGATGAAGCTATGCTTTGGAGGAAGTCATACAAAAAAAAATAGAAATATGGCACCTTCCTGCAGTGTTGCTCGGAGGTGTTCATTTGTGCTTTAGAGCGTAACCGCTGTAAAACAATCAGAAAATAATGTTTTATTTCTCAGATTTCACTACTATTTTTCTCCTCATTCACGCTCTACGTAGCTCGAGTAAAGGTGCTCTCTGGCTCGCACAAGTCGGGGAGGAGGGACAGACTTTGAATGGCGCCTTCACAAACAGCCACAGACAAATCCTGAATTGTATGCCTTTAAGTGTGTTGAATGCAGGAAAGGTTGTAGTTAAGGGTGGATGGAACAGAAACCTATAATAACAGCTGACACTCACTATAGTCACTGTAGCCCCCCATGTTGCCCTGGCTGCTGTATCCACCAGAGTACCCTGAGCTCAGCTGGCCGCCGCTGTAAGACGATTGGTTCCCTGTGGAGAGGACAGATCACATCAGATTCAGTGGGACATTAAAGCATCATTATTATACAGTTGTGTGCTGATGCAAATTTTGTGAAGCCCTTGCTGTCTCAGATTTTGTGCTTATGTGTGCAAACGTTTACATCCAAACAACAAAACGCCACAAATCTCAAATCTCCATTGCAGATACTCACCCATACCACCCATCATCTGGCTGCCGTAGGCTCCGTTACTGCCACCTGCTGTTGAGTTCAAGAACAGCTCCACGTAGCGGTGCTCTGAGGGGTGAAGAGGAACCGTAAACATAACTAATATCTATATGCGAACATCTATATGCAGGGTGGAAGTGGTGAAGTATTCTTAACTCACGCATGTTTGCTTTGTCTTTAGACATGGCTGCCACAGCATCCTCATGTGTTGCAAACTCTACATCCGCCTCACCAGTTACCCTGCCATCTGGGCCGATCTCAATATGGACCCGCACTGGATTCAATGGCGAGAAGAACTAAGAAACAAACAAGGAAAAAATGTTTCAGGATGCAACCTTAACTACACATGCACAGGGTAAAGGGGGTTTCAGTGATCTGGCCGATATTTTGCAGTCGTTCTCTGACTTACATTGTAGATGTCTGTTTCTGTGGCTCTGTATGGTAGGCCCCTCATGTGGACACAGTGGCCTGTTGTGCTCTGGAAGGAAGAGCCGCCATCGCCATACCGTCCGTCTGATACACCTGAATACACACAATCAGGATTAATACAAAAAGGTCTTCGGAGGACGTTACACCCTAATCATATCCAATGTTTCTGCAGGTTTAAGGTTTAGACTTTTTGTGAATGCAATTTACATCCATTTTGGCAAAAAAAGAAAGAAAAAGTAACTGTATTGGTTCCATGTC